TAAATGATAAAACTAAGGAGATCTGAAATAAAATTGAATTTCCAATTGAATATCTAAGTACTTTAAATTTTTAAGTCACGCTCAGAGGTGGTTGCTTCCAATTTAGTTCGAGTCGTTATTAAACAAGGGCCCAACTCCTCCATTGAGTATTCGAAAAGAGTTATTTTTTTTAGTCAAAGTACCTTTACATTTATCTCAATGAGCCAACACTTAGTCCGATCAACAATTTGATCAATATTTAATTGGAGTTGAAGTTGAGCAGCATGTGAGTTGACAATGCTCAGGATTTTAGTGTCATCAACGTAGATCTTACCACTGTTTTCGTTGTTTATTATATCCGGCAGATCATTGATGAAAATGACAAATAAAATTTGACCCAAGACTGGTCCTTGCAGAACCCCACTTGTCTCAGGTAACCAATACGATTTACTGTCACCAAGGATGACTTTTTGAAACCTGTTAAGTAGAAATACTTTTTCCAATAGAGAATATTACCTTCAATTTTGTACATTTTTAGTTTGTGAAGCATTTGTTGATGTGTCACTTTGTCAAATGCTTCAACAAAATCTAAGAATATGACGTCAACATGTAGTTTTCCAGTCAGCAAGTTCATTGTTTCAAAGAGATTTGTAATGCATGCTTTTTTCTCTATAAAACAATTTGATAGAAGATTGTTTTCTTTTAGATGCTGCATAATTTTCTTCTTAACAAGTTTCTCCATTATTTTACGTAAAATCAAGTTGAGAGATATTGGTATGTAGTTTGATGAGTCGATTCTAGAGCGCTTTTTAAAAAAATGTGTTAAATTTGCTTTGGATGATGAGTTTGGAATTTCACCATTGTCAAATTACTTTCGAAAGATGAGATTAAGTGGAGTAGACATTGATGTAGAACAAAAGCGTAAAACGTGAGGACTGACATTGTCTTCACCAAGTGATTTAGATATATCTAGTGATGAGAGTTCCATTAGAGATGCCTGAGTGTCAAAAGTTATGCTGTTGAAGATTGTGTTTGTTTTACGATCAAAATGGGAAAGATTATCATTGGATGGCTCTTTGCTAAAAACTGCTTGAAATTGATTGTTAAGAGAGTTAGCTATTTTAATTGTGTAGGGCTAATGATTTTACTGGAACTGGCGATTCACATAGATAAGATCTAATTTATTAGAGCGCGTTTACTATTTTTATATGAAAAATAGTTCTTTAGGGTTATATACATATTATATATATATATATATATATATATATATATATATATATATATATATATATATATATATATATATATATATATATATGTATATATATATATATATATATATATATATATATATATATATATATATATATATATATATATATATATATATATATATATTGAATAATGATATAAAAATGGTATAGAATTTGAACGAATGTCAAACAAAACTTATATAAAAGCCGAGAAAACAACAAATATGTATAAATTAGCCAAAGAAGAATATAACCACCTTTTAAAAAATGCTATTACTGCCACCTAGAAAAAAATCAACTTAATAATAAAAGATAAAATAAATAAAAAAGGCAAGCATGTTTTGCAAAACCATGATGTTTATGATAAAATCAAGACAAATGGGTCTTCTAAATGTTTCTTTAAAAGATCACAAAGTAAATTTTGCTAATAATCGTACAGTACAACTTTTAAAGCCAATGAACAATATGATTGGAAAAATTAGCAAAATTATTTTATCAAAAACTAACAATGAATTCCTCAGTAAGTTATTAATTTTACGTCACTGATTGGTTTTTGAAAATTAAGGATAAACATCTCTACAAATTTTTAGTTTTTGGCATCAATGATTCTTATTCTAAAATAATTGAAAAAACGCTAACAAATTCAATCAACTTTGCCGAAGAACATCTAATAATAAATATGAAGATGTGTGGATTAAGAAAAGAGGAGGACTCTTAGATGTTATAACGGGTGCTTATGATGTTGCTGAGGTATGTGAGTTAGAAGGATTTTTTTTTTTATTCCACCTTACGCAGTATTATAGCAGAGATGATTTTTTTCTGTATCGTGATAGCGGGCTTGCGAAATTTAAAAGCAAAAATGGACAACAATTGGAGAAAGCATTTTGAAAAAATTAAAAGTAACAATCTTTTTATTTGCATCCAATGCAATATGAAGTTAGTTAACTATCTTGACGTAATATTTCTACTCAATAACAATTCTTCTTAACCATACCATAAATGCGACAATGAGTTGAATTATGTTCACTCTAATTCAAAAAAACCCACCTTATATTATCAAAAGACTGCCTCGCACTGTTGAATTGAGATTATCTGCCACGTCGTTAAATTAATATGTTTTTTATAATGCTATTCCAAAGACGCTTTAAAAAAGTTTGGCTATAAATGTAAGCTCAAGTACCAACCTCAAGTCAATTTGACTAAAAACAAAAATCGAAAGCGAAAAGTTATATGGTAAAACCCTATGTATATATGAAACAAAAATAGGCAGTTGTTTATTTGCATTAATTGACCTGCACTTTCCAGTAAACCATAAAATTCACAAAATATTAAACAGAAATTCATTCAAAGTTAGTTATAGCTGTATGTAAAACATAAAGTTTATAATTAGTTCACGTAACCAAAAGATTTTACCGAGTGATACAAATGTGAATAAAAGAACTTGTAACTGCATTTCAAAGACAGGTTACCCATTGAACAAGTAGTGTTTATTATATAATATTGTTTATCAAGCTACTGTCATTAATGAAAATCCTAATCCTAGAGAAAAAGAAAAAATATATTTTGGTATCAGCGTGACACCATTCAAACTTAGATATGAAGTTTGTTTTTTAGATTGCAATATATATATATTTTTTTTTGAAAAGCTCATTTCGATTCTTTTCTGCCTAAAAATGATAATATATGTAAAGGAAGCATTTTTAAGATTATTTTAAAATAGTATTTTGGTTTTTACTTTAACATTTTTAGTAAATGGTAAAAAAATAGTTCATTTAAAAATTGCCTTTAAAACTTAAACTATATATATAGCTGGCCAAACCTGTAAGATACAGATTTTAGTATGTCTATTTGACACTGATCATTTTTATAATTATTCCTTGTTTACTTCAATATTTTTAGTAATTAGTAGGAAAAACTATTCATTTAAAAATTGCTTTTAAAGCTAAATAATAATTATATGTGCATATTTTCCACCTTTTTTGAACTTATTAGAACTTTTGAAAGTTCTAATAAAATCAAAAATACAAAAGTGAAGTTTCGATCTTTTCTGTTAATAAAATACTTTTACGAAAAATTGTTAATATACTTTTTGTGTAAACTATTTTGTTCAGAATTTAAAAAAAAACGTTTATTTTGGGGTTTTAATTTTATTTGTCTTATTTAGAATTTAAATAAAATATTCGTTTTGCAGTTCTTAATGTATTTATATTATCTAGATTTTAAATTGTTTTTTTTTTTTTGCCATTTTTTATATCTAGAATTTAAATAAAACATTTGTTTTTTATCTAGAGTTTAATAAAACATTTGTCTTTCTGTTTTTCTTTTAATTATTTTCTTTAGTATTTCTATAAAGCATTTTTTAGTTTTCATATTTTTACTGTTTTGTTTTTTTTATTTATTTTATTTAGAATTTAAATAAAATTTTTGTTTTGCCAGGTTTTTTAAATTATTTCATTTAGTTTTTAAATAAAAACGTTTATCATTCCGCTTTTATTAAAATTATTTTGATTAATATTTATATAAAAAGCTTTTCAAATATATATCTGATAAATAAATGCCTAAATAAAGTCTTATCAGATTATTGTTCCATTATATGAACTGTTTTTCTGATAAAGGTTGTTCTGATAAAGATTTTTCTGATAGATATGCATCCATACCCTTTTTGTCAGATTATGGCTATATATACCACAAATATAACAAATGTATAAATGTAGGGTATTGGAAAAAACATTTGCAACCAACATCGAACAATGCTAAAAAGTGCTTCTAATTTTTCTTGTCTTAAAAACGAAAAGAACTATACTACCACAGCAAACAGTTCAGGAGTCTGGAGTCATAGCATGCCATGACATGAGCAATCAGCTGACAGGTGACAGTACACAGGCAGAATTTCGTTGACAAATGCCATTTTGCAGCAAAAAAAATAAGTGCAACTTTTTTGGTTTGTTTTATTTTCTTAAGTCTGGTCCATGCCAACGTCACGGAAATTTTTTAATAATTAAAGGAAGTATTTAAAAGTTTCCAGAAGTTTTCAGAAGCATGCAGAAGCTTCCAGAAGTTTCCCGAAGAAGCATCTGGAAGCATCCACAAGCATCCAAAGATATCCAGAAATATTTAGAAGCATCCAGTTGCATCCAGAAGCTTCCAGAAGCATCGAGAAGAAGCATCTAGAATCTTCCAGAACAGGTTCACACAGGTTCATTTTACTATATAAGAGACAGTTATTCAGTCAGAATATGGAAGTCAATCAGTCAGTATTATCAAGACAATTTATTGAAGTGAGTTTTATTAAAGTGTTTTATTGAAGAACATCAAAACAGGAAGTGAAATACAACAAGTGTTTCATTACATCACTACAGTCCACATCCAACCAAGACATTGTGTTCCACATAGCATTATTGTATCATCACAAGGTAAATGTAACACAGAACGCCTTGAGAAGCGTAATTATTTTATGTACTTTTTATGACTTCAAGTGCAAAAATGGCTACCAACAGTCTTGGATTGGAACTAAGAAATAAAATTATTGGCGATTACGATTAAGTGGAATGTCATAAAAAGTACCACAGCAAACAGAAGCATCCCGAAATTGATTGAACCTAATTTTTTAATTAAATTTTGGTTATAATTGCTATTTAACTTTATGGATTCGTACTTGTTATTAAAATTGATAAAAATAAAAATTTGTGATAAAAAAGAAATTCAATCAAATAAAGAACCTTCAGAAACATCTGTGAAATTAGTTTGTGAAATATTCTCTGAGATGTAAATCTAGATCAATCGTGATAAAACTTCTGAACTTCAAAAATAAAGTTAGCAAATTAAAAAACTCGAAAAAAATAAAAGGAACAGTAATATTTATAAACAAAGACTATTCTTTGGATACCCTACACATACGGAAAACTCTTTTTGAGGAAATCCAATCTCACATGGCAAATGGACAAATATTGCTAAAAGGGCGGAAGCCATCAATAATATTGTTTTTGATATACCAGGAAGAAAAATTACACTTAACCGAATTAATGATGATGATAAAAACAACTTTTTTTACGAAGTTTTAGTAGATACGACTTATTACAATGTTGACGATGTTAAAGATGTTTTTAATTCTTTATCATCTTATTTTACATTATTACATTTAAACATCAGAAGTATAAATTACAAATTTGAAAATTTAAAATTGATGTTAAATAGTATAAATAACAAGGTCAGTATTATCTGTCTGACAGAAACTTAGTGTCATCGAGACACGATTAACTCAAATTACCAATTATCACGATATAAATCCATCCATCAACCGACAGAAAACGGCATTGGCGGGGGCGTATCTATTTTTGTCTAAACCTCATTGACCTTTAAGCATGTAGAAAACCTTAAAATTAATGACGCTGATTGTGAGTCATTTCCTATTGAAATAGTTAATAAAACAAATAAAAATACATTTATAACAGCATTATATAAACCGCCTAATGGTAATTACAATCAGTTTGAAAACCACATAATTATCTTGCTACTAAAGCTCATAAAAAAATACGTGTATTTACTGGGTGATTTTAATTTTGAATAATGAAACAGATAACCACGTTGCGCGTTTTATAAGACACTTTTGCAATACAGCGTTTTTCTCATAATTAACAAGCCAAAACGCGTAACTAAAACAACTGCATCCATTATCGATAATATTATTACTTACAATTACACAATGGCTAAAATGCAATGTGGTTTTATTAAAACAAATATCACTGATCATTTTTTAGTTTTTCTAATCACAATTTCAGCAACCCCTGAAAAAAAATCAGAAACAAAAACTATTTAAGTAAGAAAAATAAATAATGAATCAATTGTCCTCTTACAAGAGATAAACTGGGAACTATTAACTGATTGCAATGATGTAAATAATGGCTATTATTTTTTTATTCGCGTGTTTACTAAGCAATACGAAAAAGCCTTTCTAAAAATTAAAAAAATTATTAATTCTAAATATTTGCTTAGTCCGTGGATGACAAACGGACTCATTAAGTCATCAAAAAAGAAACAAAAAACTTTACCCAAAATTTTTTTAAAAAAAGAACTACAAAAATGAAATAAAATACAAAATATTTAACATTTCTTTCGAAAAGTTAATTCAAAAAAAATTACTCTTCTTCATTGCTTAATAAAACATTTATAAATGCAAGAAAAACTTGAAAGGTAATTAAAGAAATAACAGGCGTGGGAAATGTGAAAACTGATAATTTCCCTAAAAGATTGCAAAGAGATGGTAATATAGGAGATGCTTTTTGTAAATAAAGAAACTGCAGAAACTATTATTGACATTTTTATAAATATAGCAAAAAACTAGCCAGTGTAATTCCTGAGGGGAGTAAGTCAATTGAATTCTTTTTGAAAAAATTAGATTTCATAATGGATGAGTCACGCAATTAGTATGTTGAAAACAAATAAGAGTGCGGGTCTAGATAAAATTAACCCCGATATTGTAAAAGCGGTCCCTGATATTATTAAGAAACCACTTTTTAAAATTTCTAATCTTTCCCTAAGAAACGGTATTTTTCCTAACCAATTAAAATTAGCAAAAATAATTCCAATATACAAATGCAGCGATGACTCGATAAAATCTAACTAATGACCAATTTCCATACTTTTCTGTTTTTCTAAAAGACTAGAGCGTATTATGCACAGCAGGCTGTACAATTATTTTTAAACTAATAACTTTCTTTATCATAAACAATTTGGTTTTCTCAAAAATCATTCCATGGACCATGCAGTAGTTGATCTTGCAAATCCAATTCTAAATCGTTTTGAAAACAATAGTTACACACTCGGAATATTTCTAGATCTATCTAATGCCTTTGATACTGTAAACCACAAGATTCTTATCAGCAAACTATGTAATTACGGAGTAGCTCACTCTAACTTAAAGTAGCTGCAATGTTATTTAGAAAATCGTAAACAAGTAGTACCATTTGATTTAACATGCTCCCCATTTGAGTCAATTCGTTGTGGAGTTCCACAAGGATCAATACTAGTAAAAATAAAAACTTTGACCCAAATATTGTTCTGCGGGGAAGTTGGTAGCAGATGACAAAGGTAGACGATTGCGTTTCACCACTTCTAGAGAGGATTCTATGATCGTCATTTCCATCAAGATAGATCCCTGGATATCATCAGTCTAGATGCAAAAACAATTAGAGCTGCCTGTATCGTACCGAACAATCAGACGACGTGCTTTTGAAACCGGCTTGTTTTCTCGACGACCTGCAAAGAGACCGCTGATTACACTAAAGAACCAGAAGAAAAGACTCCTGTTTGCTACATTTAATATTAACTGGAATGCGCAGAACAGGTGAACTGTCCTATTTAGTGATAAATCGAAGATCAACATCATTGGGAGCGATGGCATTTGCCATGTACGTCGATCGGCCGGAAAACGCGTCAGTATACATTACTGCCATAATACCGTGAAACATGGTGGAGGAAATGTAATGGTCTGGGGGTGTTTTTCTGCTAACGGTCTAGATCTAATACATCGAATTGATGGAATAATGAACCGTTTTTGTATAAAAATATCCTGAAAGATGTTTTGTTACCTTATGCTGAATGGAATATGCCAATAAAATGGGTTTTTCAGCAAGACAACGATCCGAAACACACTGCCAAAGTAGTCAAGAAAAGGTTTCAAGACAACCAACTATCGGTGATGGATTGGTCGCCTCAATATCCGGATCTCAATCCTATCGAGAACCTGTGGAAGATCGTCAACCGCAGAATTAATCGTGAAGGTGTTTGTAATAAGGATTAACTGTTTGAACAAAACCAAACGGCCAGGGCAGCAATTCTACAAAGTTTCATTGATCACCTGATTGAATCTATGCCTCGAAGATTCAAGGCTGTGATCGACAACAATGGATTTGCCACGAATTATTAATAGCGAAATACAGATCGGTCAACATTTTGTAGAGTTGCACTTGTTTCGTCCAGAAGGAAGTCAATTTTTTTTTAATACTTTTGATTAACTTATTAATTTTCTTGTACAAATAATGAACTTTGTGAAAACTTAAAAAACGTTGTCTCTAAACAGCTACATAGTTATTTCTCTAAATTGAAAAAATGCAGCTCTTTTATATAAAGAAACTTACCTAGCATTATTTGGTTATACTTGTTTTGTTCGATACTGTATATATAAATTAATATGTAAAAACACGTATCTAATTTTATCTTCTAAAAATTATTTTACCATCGTTAGGCTCATCAGGAAGAATTCTGATTCTTCCTTCCTTATGCACCTACTGATGGTAAAACAGTTAGTTAAAGATAAAATTAGATAACTGTTTATTCTATTGCTATATCTGCAGCTATATTCCCATGATGCCCTTTCTCTCATAGACAAGGTGCAAAAACGCATTGTTAGTATAATTGGACCTGCTCTTGCAGCCATCCTCTAACTATTTGTCATCATTGTAATATTGCTTCTATTTCTGTTTTTTATAAATACTGTAATAGGAACTGCTCTAAAGAGTAAGCTTCCATTGTGCTATCTACTAAAATTCATTCTTGGGTTACTCTTGACTCAATTAAGTCTATTCTTTTATCCAAACAATAATCTAAAAACTCTTATTCATCTAGATTATATATATATATATATATATATATATATATATATATATATATATAATATATATATATATATATATATATATATATATATATATATATATATATATATAATTATATATATATATATATATATTTAACAAATGAAACAAAAATAACACGTTACTTTAACAAATTTAAATAATCTATAATGGGTATATAAGAAACTGATTGGATAATTTTGATTGCTTAATTTTAATTTTAAATAAACATTATAATCATTTTAAGAACAACAAAACTTTTTTTTTATATTAAAAGTTTGTAAAAAAAAAAATATTTTTTCTTAGAAATTGTGTTCATTTCTTACTAGTTTACAAACAGAAAGAAAATAAAAAAGTCTTTCTTATGATTTTTCTTTTTTGACTTTTTTGCTATTAAAATAGAACTAAGTCGAATAAAAATTATTTTATTTTAAGCAACATTACAAAAAGAATTAAATTTGGTGGTATATTTAAATTCGATTTACATGAAGATATAAGTTGTACTTTAGTTGAATTTAAACGCCACAACGTTGATCACTGGATGTCTATTAATAATAAGAAACAATTAGATCCATATTACTTGACCAGAAAAAAGAACAATGAGATGTTTGTCAAAGTGGAAAATTTGAAATATCGCAATGAAAAGATTAATTTTAGGTTTACATTTCAAGATTTGCAAAAAAACATTACTTATAAAGATGGTCCTAAAGATTGTACTATTTTAGGTATTATTTGAATTATTACTAGTACTATGTTCTTATTTTATTATTAATTTATTTTGTTTAAAATAGTTTTCTCAAAAAAATCTATTTTCTTTACAGGTGATTATTAAAAGTAACATAAACGCAAAAGAGTTTAACATTGAATTTAAATTTTTTTTTGTGAAGTTTGTTTTTAAAGCAGTAAGTTCTCTAATAAAGTATTTATAGTACTTTATTTTCAGTAAAGTATTTCTAAATCTTCCATAAAGTATGCAGGTATGGGGGAGGGGGTTACATAAAATTGCGTAAAAGGGTGGAGGAAATGTTAAAATCAGTAAGTACATACACGGTTTGATTATCTCTCGTTATTTATCTCTTTTAAAATTTGATTTTTTTTTTAATCATAGAAGTTCACAAGTTTTAAAAACCAATATTATTTATACCAGCTGAGATCAGACCCGTAAAAATACGGGTCTTTGTAAATCTATTCCGAAGCGAACTTTTCTATACTTTTTCTTTATAAATCCTAGGTTTCCAGATCCGTAAAATACAAGTTTTTATTAATTAATATATCTATTCCACACCGATTATTTCTATAGCTATTCCTTATTTACTTCAACATTGTTTAGTAAACTAATTTATTCTGAAAAAAAAACTAAGAGCAGAAAAACTTAACATGCGCACCTTTTCCGCATACGTAGAGATTACGTTTTCCGCATGAGAGACTTAAGGTGAGTTTCCACTCATCCGTTTTTCAACGGGAACGGGATAGGAAAGGGAAAAATAATCACTTGAGCATGCGCAGTTTTACTTCGGACAAATTAAAACTTATAATACGCATGCCCACGTGAATATTTTTCCCTGCCCTTTCCCGTTCCCGTGAAAAAACGGATGAGTGGAAACTCACCTATATAGGTTTAGGTTTGTTTTTTTACTAAATGCAGTTTATTGATAGCTCAGTGGTTAAGTGCGCTGTCATCAAAGTTTTTATAGGAGGGTTTAAGACCTCGTTTTATCATAATAAATTTTGAATTTACTTTTAATTGTGCTCATATATTTAAAACAAAAAAATAATAATATAGCAAAAAAGATTTCCAAAATTAAAAGTAAAATTTTAGGTTTTCTCATTTTTTAGATAAATTATACGTGATTATTCGATATAATGCCTGCAGACTCAACATATGCTAAAGTCGTTTACACTTACATACGTTACATAAGCACAATTAAAAGTAAATTCAAAATTTGTACGTAAACGTTTCAAATGGTCATAAGTCAAAATAATTTTTTTTTTTTTTTATGATTAAAAACTAAATAATAATATCAAGCGCTAATATAAAAGTTAAACCAGAAATAATTTGCGCATTCATTCCATTTGTGGAAAAATAAATCTTTATGCATCAAGTTTCCTTTTGCAATTATCTTACATTTTTTCATTAATTTTAATTATGTTGCACAAAAAAGTATAAAACTGGTATCATTTTACGGATAAGAGTTTGTATCTATTACAATAGTAATAAATAAATAGTTTTTGTCTTTATTTGAATATATCCCATAAAAAAATAATCCATTTATCGTTAATGAAAGAAGTTTCGCTAACAAATTAAAAAAAAATCTTGTTTCTAGTTCATTTTTTTAGTAATTTTGCCACAAAGTGACTTCACATACGAAAAAAAATTATAGTTTTAATGATTAACGAAAAAGCCTTGTCTATCATTTTTAATGGTCTAAGAAGCATGTTATAATTTTAGCAATTATAAATTATCAAAAGAGGGGCAAATCTTTAATAGAAGTTTCAATCATTCCAATTAGATGTCAATATGATTCATGTTTTTTTAATCTTATAAATTTTCTTAAATATAAAAACATACCTAATAAAAACAAGAACAGCTTGAGCAAAAAAGACTTTAATTTTTAGATAGACTTTTCTTATGTTTTTATTTAAAAGATTTTTTACACTTTATAAACAATATATGAACAAAAAACATATTTGTTTATATATATATATATATATATATATATATATATATATATATATATATATATATATATATATATATATATATATATATATACATTGTTTATATGGATGGTTAAGCGCAACTAAGTTAAAAAAAAAAAAAGTTTATGTTAAAATTAAAAAAGGATTTTTATGTTTCTTTGCAAACACCAAACACTATAACTAAAAGTGCAATGAACTGTAAATACTTATAATTCTTTTGGTTTAGTGGCTATTGTTAAGAGCTTTTAAGTTTTGCGTCTAAAGAGCTTTTAAGTTTTGCGTCTCATTTCAAAATATTCGTTGTATCATCCGTTCTGCAACCATTTTTCAAAATGCTTTCAAGTAAAAAAAATCAGTTTTGGCTTTTTTACAAAATAAGCTAGTTTTTATGTCTACAAACGTAAAACATTTATTTTCAAAAAGTTCTAAAAAAAATCCATAAGAATTTTTCGTTTCAAAAAACGCTTTACAAAGAGTTTCTCCTAATAAATATTTTTTAATTGCGTTTTTTTCGAAATATGTAATAAATTATAAGGCATTTTGAAAAACGGCTGTAACATATATTTATAGTAAAAAAATAAATATATATAAAAAAAACTTTTATTTGTAAAAAAAAAAATTTATTAAAGCTGCTTTTTTTTTTTTGCCTCCACAACATTTATTAATTAACTGAGCATTTAATAACATCTTAATCATGACACATACGCAACAAACTTTTTCTTCTGGTGGTTTGATGTTTTTAGTAATTTTAGCTTTTTTAGAATCTTTTCCTTTGTTAAAGTATATAATATCGTTAGATATGTTTCTATACAATCTTTATAAAACTTCAAAAGTATTTTATACTTTAAGATAATCGCAAAAAAATTAAAAAAAAGTCGGTAGTGGTAGAAATCGAACCACGACTTACTTGTTCAGAAACTCGGCGCGCCAACCCTAACCCTGACCACTCGGCCACTTTGGCACATTGTTTTAACAAAAAATTTTAAAACTATATAATAATTTTTTTTAATGGAAATTAATGTTATATTTTAAAAATATGTGAACGCAATGTAACTTTTAAGGGAAAATCAAACTGTGAAATTTGATAAATGTTTCAGTAATGTTTTAAAATTATTTATGTAGAAATTTGCGTACATTAGTTATTTTCATACATTTTTGCTCACGTTTGCTTACAACAAATTGTACTACAACTCTTTCTCGCCACTACCTCAAGTGCAATGGCAGCCAAGGGTTCCGTGCCAAACATTCTCGAAGGGAAACTACTACTACTACTACTACTACTACTACTACTACTACTACTACTACTACTACTACTACTACTACTACTACTACTACTACTACTACTACTACTACTACTATTACTACTACTTACACTATTAAGGCAATTATATAAAGAGATGTAATATAGATATGTTGATTTGACCAAAAAAAAAAATTACTTTTATTGTTTTTAACCCACGGTGCTCTGTGATAAGACCGTAAGGACTTCTTGGGGCACCTTAAACAACTTAAAAAAAACAAAAAAGTAATATATTGATTTCATAAATAAAAACTACCCAACAATTGAATTAGTGTATTTTAAAAAGGCAAATTTGCTCAATATCTATTTTTGGAAAAATTAAAAAAAAACTCTTTATATCTTTTCTGAATGACTGAGCTTGATTTTTGTTATTTCTTTTTCAAAATGCTTACAAGATTAACATTAGCCATTCAATAATTTTTTTTTCGACAACCAATTATCAGGCGAAGTAGCTAATGATTAGCGTAAATATTTATATGAAAATATAAATATGATCTCTATGATCTCACATTTTTCTCAAAAGAAGTACTCGCGCCATTTTGATAATTTTTGACTAAATTTAGAGCAACTTTCAAGCATTGACACAAATATTTTCTAATGTCAAATCCAGTTGATTTGTTCCACGATGTTATCTTTATGTGTCTTACACATAAAGATCAACGCAAAATCACTTCACAGTGATTTTTTTGTTGATCTTTCAGTGTGAGATAGGCACAACATATTTCTTAAAACAATAAGCTCAGTGTTTTTTTTTTATCTTTAGGTTATTTTCCAGTCATTCAACAAATTTTATGATTTTTACCAAACTTTGTTATCAAATAATGTTTTTTTTTTTTCAAAAAATGTTGCTATAGACTTTGATCAAACAAACACAAACCCAAATTGATTTCTTTGATAGTTAGGGTTAAGGACTTTGGATCTTTTGTTGTAAACTAAACTAGATGAAAAGGTATCAATGAGATTCAACTATATATATATATATATATATATATATATATATATATATATATATATATATATATATATATATATATATCATATATATATACATATATATATATATATATATACATATATATATATATATATGTATATATATATATATATATATATATATATATATATATATATATATATATATATATATATATATATATATATATATATATATATATATATATATATATATATATATATATATATATATATATATATATATATATATATATATATATATATATATATATATATATATATATATATATATATATATATATATATATATATATATATATATATATATATATATATATATATATATATATATATATATATATATATATATATATATATATATATATATATATATATATATATATATATATATATATATATATATATATATATATATATATATACATATATATATATATATATATATATATATATATATATATATATATATATATATATATATATATATATATATATATATATATATATATATATATATATATATATATATATATATATATATATATATATATATATATATATATATATATATATATATATATATATATATATATATATATATATATATATATATATATATATATATATATATATATATATATATATATATATATATATATATATATATATATATATATATATATATATATATATATATATATATATATATATATATATATATATATATAT